GAGGGGCCCGGCTACGCCGCCCGCCCCTCCCCCAGTCGCCGCTGTCCGTGGTGCTGAGCGCGGCCCCGAGTGCGCGCGACTCCGAGCTACCGCCAAGCATGCGCGTCCTGGGGTTAGGGAAAGGGGCGGGGGAGGCTGGGAAGAAGGTATCCTAGTCTTATTCTCTTAGGTCTCACAGGGTTCTGAGAAGAGCTGACTGACTTTCTGGCCTGGCTCAGGGAGGGGTTAGGGTATACCTGGGACAGGGCTGCATGAGTGAGTAAGTACCCAGATTTAACAGAGCTTCAGTCCACTTGGGTGAACTCTCTTCTCTCCAGGGCCTGACTTACCATGAAGGGAGGGGACCAGGTGAAAACAATAGCTGGGCTCAAGCCATTTCCATGAAGAACCATTGTCCTGGTGGGATGGTACAACCTCAGTCTAGGGTTGGAGTGGGGCCTACTCACCTTCCACATCCCAGAGCAAGAAAGAAAGATCTGGAGTTCTAGGCATGGAATTCTTGAGACACTTACCTCTCTCTCCTCTTCCTTCTCCATGGGAAAGAAAAGATCTTCCAGTCCTTCAGGCTCAAGGGCGTTGAGTTCATCTCCACCCAGTGATGGGACAGCAGGGTCCACTGTGGCTGGCGCCTGCTGAGCTAGACTCTCCATCTGCAGTACCAAACCACCCAGGGAGAGGCAGAGCTAAGAAAAACCTAAAGTAGTTATGACTCCAGAAGTCATTACAGGGCCCCCTGTCAGGGTTAAACAGGTTACTGTGAAATACAGACAAAGCTTCCCCTTACCAGTCGATCTCGGGCTGCATGAAGACTTTCAAGGGCCTGAGCCACAATGCTCTCTGCTAGGGTCCCTGTGATTGACAGACGCATGTCCCTGAGGGCAGGAGAGGGTGAGGATCAGTGTGCTAGCTCTGTCCAGCTTTGCCCATCCCAGGGTTTGCTTACCTCAGCCTAGTAAAGGCATCTTGCAGCAGATGTTCTGGAAGCAGTTCTGGAAGGCTCCTGGAGCCCACCAGAACTCCCTCGAGCTGCTCCTTCCAGCTAGGTCTCTGCAATATCTGTGGGCAAAGGCTCCTTGTGGTATCCAGTGTGGTCTGAGTGAAGTCCTGGGTAAAAGTTATAAGATGGTAACAATATCGCTAGAGCCTAGGCCCCTTGGCTTATGGGTGTGAGCCCTCATTAAATCACTGCTGACTGAGGGCACAACACAGACAAGTCTATGAACTGAGGGTTAAACCTGCAAAGGGGGTGAAGCTAGGGCAGAAATGGCACCTTACCTGGATGTCCTGGCGACAGATCTCGCCCACCTGACCCAAGAGGCCCTCCAGCTTCTGCTGCAGCTGCCAGTGATGACTTGGAGAACTCCCAGCCTCATACAGAATGGGAAGGATCTGAGGGCCAAGGCACAAGGAGTTCCAAGATGACACTCAGTCAAGAGCAGAAAGGTCCTCACAGTGGGGGAGGGCATGCTCACACTGAGAGAGAAGTTGGCGTTCTGGATGGCGTCCTCAGCCTGGTGCACAGCAACTTCACCCTGGGGCCCAGCCCCACAGCCCAGCAGCTCCACATGTTCCTGCACTGACTGGCACAGTTCATTCACTTCCTGAGGGAAATCACGGGTTAGTCCCTCCTTTGTCTCTTATGAGTCTCCCCGTGTCTGCCTCTCTTCTTGGGTTTCTGACAGGGTAGATGAAGCCCTGAAGGCAACCTATGAAGCAAAGTGCTTGGGAAACCCTATCTGCTCAAGGTAGGCTAGCAGGGTCTTTCCCTTCCGGTTGTTTAGGGACCTTATGCCTCCGAAAGGCCTAGAACAAGCAGGAAAGCAGCAGCTTTGGTCACTGTTTAAAAATCTTCCCAACTATTCTCATCAAGGATAGGTAGGGGTGTGTGTGTGTGTGAGAGAGAGAGAGAGACTGAGGAAGCAAAAAATGGCTGATCTGAGCCAGGCAGTGGTGGCACACACCTTTAATTTTAGCATTTGGGAGGCAGAGACAGGCGGATCTCTGTGAGTTCGAGGCCAGCCTGGTCTACAGAGCTAGTTCCAGGACAGGTTCCAAAGCTTCAGAGAAACCCTGTCTCAAAAAATTAAAAAAAAAAAAAGGAGGGACCTTAGAAGGACATTTAGTTATATAGACACCAAAGAAATTGGAGCCCATAATAGTGGGGTCGTGGATGATAATAAGACCATCTGAGAGCCTGTGAGATGACCCAGGAGTAGCTGTGCTTGCCACTGAGCCTGATGCTGTGCATGAATCCATCCTCGGGATCCACGCTACATCTGTTATCCTTTGACTTCCACACGTACCTACAAGCATGGGCATACGGGTGTATGCATGCGCACACACAGTAATATGCAATAAATAAATAAATGCAGTAATTAAAAAAAGTGGAGCCAGAGAGATGGCTCAGTGGTTAAGAGCACTGACTGCTCTTCCAGAGGACCCGGGTTCAATTCCCAGCACCCACATGGTAGCTCATAACTGTCTGAAGATCCAGTTGCAGGGGATCTGACACCTTCACACCAATGCACATAAAATAAAAAGTTAAATAAACCATAAAAAATATTTTTAAAAAAATCACTTGATGGCATGGAGTGCATAAAGCCCACCGGTCAGGGCGTCTGGATCAAGGTAACCACGCTTCAGAGCTTGGGTGAGAATTGCGGCTTGGGAATGCAGAAGTAGGAAGAACTCAAAAAAAGACAGGTGAGGGGGAAATTCATGCCAGAGATAGGATGGCTGGCGGTAGCCACACAGAGATGAGCCGAGAGGGGAGAGCCGCCTATGGATGGGAAGTCAGATGCGACTACAATGGAGAGAGCTTATTCACATGATTAAAATAAGACAGCCAAGCATCACATGGGGAGTTACTCCAGGAATGGCGACTGAGGAGAGAAAACTGTCTGTGCCACAGAACTCAGGGCAGCTGGCTGACCCGAGAAAGTCACACTCTCAGACTCGGGGGCCCAGGCACCCGAGATTCGAGGAAGAAACACCGACCTGCTCGGAGTGGTCTGGAATCAGACCCACAGGCTGAAGGCAGGGCTTGATATCAGAAGCAGGGTCTGCCCGACTGTTCCTCAAGAGACTGGCTTGGATCTGCAGTCAAGGGAGAGCGAGAAGAGTTAGGGAGTGGAGTCTCCACTTCTAACGGGGAGAAGAACCAGAAGGGACCCCCACCTGATGGACTGCTCGAGCTGTTAGTTCTGGGCGGCTGCGCTGGGCCTGCGCTATGTCATTCAGTGGCAGAGGCATGGACTTCAGGCTGTGGTTCTCCTCCAGGGCTTGGGCCACATCCAGCAGGCCCAGAGCAGATGTGTTGTTTCGGTCCCAGATCACAGACCTGGGCCCCACCATGCTTCAGCTGGGTCAGGGCCCCACCCAACCCCCTGGCCTTATTCATTCATCTACCTCATCAGCCTGTACCTCTTAGCCCCCCCCCCACCCTTTTAATATATCCCCCTTTCTTCTCCTGTTGGTCCCAGCCCTCATAATGACCATGCCTACCGTAGCCTGGTGTTGACTCGAAGCGCCTTGGCTAGCATCTTGGCGCCAGCATCCCCTATGGCATTGCCACTGATATCCAGTGCTGTCAGTTTTGGATTGGTGCTCAAAGCCCGAAGCAGGACGCTGGCACCCTGCTTCAACCGGGACTCAGCCACTGACAGGGACTGCAAAGGCTGGGATTAAAAGAAAAGCATTCATGGACGATTAGAATCAGATTCAGCAAAGAGGCTTCGAAGAAAGAAGCAAAAGGGAGAGGCTTTACAAGAGGCTAATTGCTTGAGGAGCCCACAGGGTTCTGTGAACTCACACAGTCGTCATCCTGAATGAGCTGGACTATCCGGTGCAGGACATCGTCCAGGGTCTCCCTGTGCCAGGAGACACTGTTAGGTCAGGGAACTGCCTGAGTGATGAAGTCCTATCTGAGAGGTAGAGGCATGGGCTTGGGGCTCACTTGCACCGAACGTTGAAGTTTCTTCCAAGAGCCACGTGTTTCAGAGACCGGCTCCTCCCGATGGCAAGCACCAGCGTCACCATGTCGGAGCCAAAGCCTGGGAGTAATTAGGGTGAGGCACAAGTCAATGCCGCCAGGGCAGGGTCCCCACCCTGGGAATCGGGTGAATAATGGGAGTGTGGATGGGTTCCCTGGTGGCCTCACCATTGTCGGACAGATCCAAGGAGCTCAAGGCACCCGCGTCACAGACTAAGTCTTGTATCACCTGGGCACCCGCAGAGCGCAGCTGAAGGTGGAGATTGGCCACATTCAGGATATTTATGCCTGGGTGGGGAAGGTCTCCAAGTCCCACTCCCGATGTGTGGACGTGCTCCTGGCCCACAACCTGGACCAGGTGCCTACCTCACAAGCGCTGAGGTCCAGGTGCAGGTCGCGGATCTGAGTGTTGAGCGCAAGACCATCTAGAAGGGCCCTGAGGGAGAGTATGTCAACGTCACACAGGTGACAAGATCTGGGAATGTGGGACTCAGGGTGCAAACGAAAAGCCTGAGCCAGGCAGGTTGCCGTTAGGGAAGATTGTGGGTGGGACAGAGGGTTTAGCGAAGATCTGCACAAGGTCGTGAGTGAAGGCGTTGGGGCGTGGCCACGGGTGGCACACACTGACCTGAGCGCTTCAGGTGGCAGCTTGCAGCCAGCCAGGCCCAGGTGCTGCAGCATCCTGGCACTGCTGAGGAAGCGTTGTAGCGCGGCAGGTGCTGCTCTCGCGGCTCGGGACTTCCTGCGTTGGGGGTGGGAGGAAGGAGAAGTGGGATTCAGGCTTCTGGAGCTGATTTCCCGAAGCCTCTGCCTCTCGGGTCTGCGTGGTGCTCCTTACCCGCGAGAGAAGATATTCCTAGACGCTTCAAGGTGGGTCAGACTGGAGCAGCAACCACCGGATAAGGCGGCAAAGAGCTGGGAGGGAAGACGGGATCGGTGATAGCCTTCCATTAGACCTGGTCTTCTCTACCACGCCCTGCTTTCCCGCTACGGAGGAGCCCCACCAAATACCCACATGACCACACTCACAGTCCCTAGAGCGGTGTCAGTGCCTGCCAGATTCAGAAACACTAGAACGTTAGGACGGCTCAAGAAAGTGTACAGGCCCTGTGGAGGACATGAAAGAGGGAGTCAGGGATGGCCTAAGGATTCTGGGCATCCCACTGACTGGGCAGCTCCAATCTCTGACTTTAAAAACTGCCACTCACCCCACTATCCTGGGAGGCTCCCAGTGCCCCAGGGTTCCCAGAAAGATCCAGGTGGGTCAGGGTAGAATCAAATGCGGCATTGGCTGCTAGTGCCCTGCCTAGAGCCCTCATCCCTGGAGAGGAAGGAGAGGCTCAGAATCAGACAAACTTGCCTCATCTGACCCCCTCCCAACCCTCATCAGTCCCACCCACCTCGAGGTGTCAACCCTGTCTGGGCTAGGCTGAGTCTCCTCAGGGCTCCTGGACAGTGCTCTAGGTGTCTGCCAAGTGCAGCCATACCTGTGGAGAGAGCAGCTATGTAAGCCCCTCCTCTCCCGGCTGTGTGCCTTGGGTCTCCCCGGTTCTGCCATACCTCTGTCATCCAGCAAGTTCCCAGACAGGCTGAGCTCCCGAAGTCCAGAATTCGAATGGCCTGCCAGCGCCTGGGCCAGTCGTCGAACAAAGTCTCTGGGGATCGAGACCCTGGTGTAAGACTGACTCCGGATCATACCACAGACCACTGGTTCCCAAGCCCTGCTCAGGTCTCTCACCCTCTCAGGCCACAGGTCTCCAGTACCAGCTCCTCCAAATGCCAAGACTGGCTCATCATGTGTAGAATCTGTTCTGAGACCTCCAGGCTCTGATACCAGAGGGTCATAGCTCATTAGGGCTGAACTTTGACCCTTACACCCTTGGCTTCCCCTGTCATGTACCCTCACCAGCTTCATGTCCACGCAGGAGAGGCGCCGGAACCACAGGTTGTAAGATAAGGCTGCTACACTCAAGGCTAGGTCTCTGGTGTGAGGAAGAGGAGGTACAGAGTTCAGAGCCTTCTAGATACTAGGCTCAGCTAGCATCCCCTTTCCTCCCGCCCAAGAGAGGCCGAAGTCTAGGTATATGGGTCCTGGAGTCCTTTCCTCCCAATCCTGGCAGGCCTCATACCTGCTGCCAAGGTGGGCAAAGTCTCCAAGGCAGAAATGGCGGCGGCCTTGACGATGGTAGATAGTGTCCACATCCTGAATGTGAGGAAAAGTACCCACAGCTGGCTTGGGACCAAAAAGGGTGGAGGGGTTCACCATACATGGGAGACCTCTCCGGAGCTCCCAGAAAGGGCCCGACTCTCACCCACTGAATCTCCTCTCGGAAGGGGAAGCCATTGTAGTCACACAGGGCTTCATATGTCTCCAAGAAGCCACCTAAGGAGGTGCCCGGGGTACGATGGAGGGAAAGAGAGACAATGAGCCAGAGATGGGAAGATCATCAGAGTAGATGGGGGCAGGGACAAAGGTGGCCCTGTTCACTTCAGGGAGCCTCCAATACCAAGGGTCTAGGGTTGCACGAAGGCAAACTGGAAGGTTTTATGGGGCTCTCATTTGGTCCTCACCACACGGGCTGCTGGGTGCTGTGGACTCTAAGGGCCGGCTTCTCTCCAACCGAGCCAGGAGTGATGAGGGTGTGGGCTTCCGGAATAGCTTCCTAGGGAGGGGATAAAAGAAGAGCAAGGGACTTCTTTCTAGCCTTTGAGGTTGAAAGGCAGTTCACTAAGGCCCTCCAGCCCCTTGGATTTTCCAGGCCTCACCCAAGGGTTGAGCGAGGGAAGACCTTTTTAATGGCGGCAACCACGTGCTGGGCCAGTTGTTCTAGGGCAGCCACCCCAGGAAACGCCAGGACCAGTTCAGGCAGGGACTCCAGCTCAAAGATGACCTGGGAGAGGTGAGACTGTCAGGCTTTTTGGAACTGTGTGTTTGGAAGCTGGTGTTCATTCAGAGCTTCACGCGCGGGGTAAACGATGGAGCCTGTGTAGCTCTCTCACCTGAGGAGGCGTCTCCTGCAGCGTCATGGCCTGGACCTCCAGGTAGCTGAATGTGCAGTCCACCTGGAAAGCACATGCATTATCTGCAGCTAACTGAGGCCAATCTCTGGACCCTAGTTTTTTGTTTGTTTGTTTGCTTGCTTGCTTTTAAATTTGAAAAATCTCCTATTTTGTGCGCACGTTTGTCTGTGCACCGCTTGTGTGTCCATTGCCTGAAGACTCTAGAAGGGTGCAGTGGGCCTTCCTACTAGAGTTCCAGCCAGCTGTGAGCTGCCTGGTGGTGTCGGGATTTGAACCCACATCTTCTTTCTCTCCAGTTAACGGTTTTGTGGAGTCTAGTCCAGAGCTAGACCTGCCCAGACTCCCCTCCTATCATCCCCGTGCTGGTTGGAAAGCAAAAGCCAGCACAGGCAAACAGGGCAACTCTGCAAAGCAGTTCCTCCCTGCCAGGGACAGGAGTGGTGGCCAGGCCTGGGACTCACCCTCAGTGGGAGGCAGCTATGCAGCAGATAAGCCCTCCATCGAAGCAGTGCCTGGGGGAAACAAAATACCGATATTCTAGGGAAATCAAGTTTCTTTGTGCCGGGCCTGGCCACTGTTCTGAACTCCAATCCTGGCCACCATACCAGGATATGACTTTGCTCAGCACCCTCCTGGGGAAGCCAGGTTTTCAACAGCAACTCCACCTCCTTGGGCCACAGGAACCTGGTGATCTCACCTGTGGAAAGACAATCTACTGGGTGACTTTGTCCTCCCATCGGGGCCTAAGGACTGTGCTAGGCTGGGTGCCCGGGTGTTCATCTATGGATCAGCTAGGAAGCAGTGGAGTGAATCTTTAGGCGCTGGCCCACCAGAACAGAACCTCTGGTCAAGTTCCCCGAGGCGCTGAGCGGAGGTCGAGTTTGGGGTCAGGCCACCTGTTCGCCGCCAGGTGGGCTCCCAGGAAGGGCCAGGCAGGGCTTACCTCGCAGTTCACAGGATATGTCGTCTGGGGTCTGAGCCATAGGGCCGGGGCGGCCCAATGAGCTCTGGCGGGAAAAAGTAGCTAGCGGGAGCGTACACAGGAAGCCTGGGGCCCCGGGCAGCACTGCAGCCACCTGCTCCTCCTGCAGCGGAAGGTACGCGCCGCTTCCTGCCAGGCCGCCCCCGACCCGGCCCCTCCCAGCCCGGGCTTCGCTGGCTGGGTTCGCCTCGGTTGGAGGTTGTGGGAGGGAGGTCGAATCCTGGCTGCTGCTGTAGCTCAGGGACTTTTCCATTCGGGTACTCATGGGTGTGGTGAATGGTGGAGCGGAGAAGGTCTTGCTTGTTTCTTGCGGACCCTTGTGCCCTACTTTCACTCCGCCCCGTAGTCCTTGATGCGAACACCAGGGGGCACCACCCTCCAGGGGATTCCATAGGCCCAACTTGGTCTGTCCCAAGAAAGAGTAGGCACTCAAAACAAGCCAGAAAAAGGCTGTCTCTTCAGCAAGATGCAACCAAATTACCCAACCCCCCAAGTTCTGTCCTGCTCAGACACAAATTCAAAAATCTGGCACCTATTTGTAATCCTAGCACTGTGAAAACTCAAGCAGGAGGAAAACAGCCCGGGCTGCAGTTTCAGGATGCCTGGGCTTTATAAAGATAAAACGCCTGACGCCTTTGTGTTTCTCTGTAGCTTTGAAGCCTGTCCTGGCATTCGCGCTGTAGACCAGGCTTGCCTCGAACTCACAGAGATCTGCCTGTCTCTGCCTCCTGAGTGCTGGGATTAAAGGTGTGAGCCAACACCACCATCACCCGGCTTGGTGGCTGCTTTGAATCGAAACACACTCTGAATTTGGTCAGAGCCTTATCTACAACCAAGCCTGTATACAGAAATCCTTGTCTCAAAACAAAAACAAAAAACCCCCCACAAAAGTCAGGCACGCTTTTAATCACAGTACAGGGTGGTGGGGGTACAGGCGGATCTCTGTGAGTTCGAGGCCAGCTAGGTCTACACAGTGAAACTGTCTAGAACAAAACAAACAAACAAGAAAGCCAAAACAACAAACAAAAGCCATACCATTTTGTAGCAGACTCCGTTCATTAGATTGGTGCTTATCATTTATTATTATTATGTTAGTTTTTTCCCAAAGCAAGTTTTTGGTTTTTTTCCCCCTGTAACAGCTCTGGCCATTCTAGAACTCACTCTGTAGACCAGACTGGCCTTGAACTCAAGAAATTCATCTACTTCTGCCTCCTGAGTGGGATTAAAGATTTGTGCCACCATTCCCTAGCAGACTAGGGCTCTTAGGGGACAGACAGCTCTAGTTAATTATGGCCTGAACTTCAGGGGATGCTGGAGTGATGCATGAGCAAATACCAGGCACATGTATGTCCACATGTCTGCATTTAGATGTAGGAGAATTTGCTTGAAAAGGAAGGTAGACAGTCATGAGGTGTGCTAGCCAAAAGCATACTGTCTTACAAAAGCCAAGGGACTAGATTCCAGGGTTCACAGATTTAAAGCCATGTCCAGAGACTTCCATTAAATCCCACTTCTAACTGCCCTTTCCACGGGTCAGCCAGAGAGAAATGGAATGTAGGAGACTGACTGTGTTGGGTAGCTCTCAGCTTGTTTCTCAGACTTGGGGATGAGATTGGACACATTTTCTAGACAAGATCCTCTCGACCAAGTCCCAGCCATTCTGAGTCATCAGGACTTTCTGGACAACACAGAGACCCTCTCTCTTCCAAACAAAATGGCTAAGCGACAGGAGCATTTGCTTCGCCTGTGAAACCAGAGTTCAATTCCCTGCACTGTGATGAGAACAAGCCTCTTCAGACATGTTTGTCGATTTCCACCAAAACACAGGACAAGATAGGAAGTGGAGATGGGGGAACTTGGGGGACAACATTGCCATTTAAGCTGGAGGAACACGGTATGACTGCTCAAGGCTGACGGAGGGCTTGGCTGGAGCAGATGCAGACAGAACCAAGACGTTCTGATACCTCTCAGCCTAAGGCTGTAAGGCCATCTGGAATTCACAAATGGCTTTTAGGGTGACAAAATCTAGTCTCATGCACATTATGGCCAAGAATTTGGGTTTTTGAAAGGCAAAGTGAATGGATTTTGACACTTAGCCTCACTAGTTTTTCGGAAGCTACTGACTGACACCCGAGTTGTTCTCAGAATTTGATTTTTGTTTGTATTTGTGTGTCTGCACAGAGGTCGGAGGGCGTCAGACCACCTAGAATGATAGGGAGTTGTGCCCTGCCTGCAGAGGGGGCTGGACCTCTACAGGAACAGCAAGTGCCCCAGCTCCCCTTTTGTTGGCACAGGGTCTTGTTATCCCTGGCTGCCAGATACTATGCAGTCCATGCTGGCCTTAAATTTGTGGCAATCTGGCTTCACTTCCTGAGTGCTAGAATTACATGCGTGGGTCAGTGAGTCAGCTTTAACTCCTGCCTCCTCCTAAGAGCTGGTATTACACTGGGGGGTCAGCACACCTGGCTTCAGTGTGTATTCCAGATGTGTATTCAGTGAACACTTCCACTTGCCAGGTCTACCATGGCAACTATGGGGCTTCTAAAACAGAAAACCTCGTCCCACTAGGATCTTTCTGACTAGAACGAGAAGGGGTGGCTGTCAAAGAGCTACAGTAGTGCCCAGGCAGAAGTGCCCTCCGGGCCAAGGCCAGACACACCACTTACAGGGTGAGTACTGGGAAAACAGGAAGTGCAGAGGTAACCAGGTCTAGCTACACAGCTGTTAGTGGTCAGTACATTAGCAAAACAAACTCAAGACCAAGAACACTCGGGCAGATTCTACATGTGATGCCGAAGCTCAACGGGAACAAATAAACCGTCTGTTGAGGAACACTGGGTGAGGGCAGTAGTGCATTTGGCTCACTCACGACAGGTATTTTTTCTAAACTGTGAGTACAGTGCTGTCTGCATGTGTGCCTGCAGGCCAAAAGAGGGCACAAGATCTCATCAATGGTTGTGAGTCACTATGTGGTTGCTGGGAACTAACTCAGGACCTCTGAAAGAGCAGGCAGTGCTCTAAACCGCTGAGCCATCTTTCCAGCCTCTACCACAGGTAGTTTAACTAGAAGAGAATCTGACTAAAGCAACGAGGGTTCACACAGATGCACACTGAACAGAACAGCTGTGGGAAGGGCTGAAGCCAGGTCAGGGATGCAAAGAATAGATTACAGACTATAGATTACTGTAGGTTCAGTAATTTGCCTAAATTTCTCAGAGAATATGGGTGATGACTAGCTTCTGATGTTGTGTGTGGGACCCTCAAGTCCAATCACCGAGGAGTTGCCCCAAGAGACCACTCTCACACCACAGTTGATATAAAAGAGGATTTAATTAATTCTGTTGTGACAGAGTCTTTCAGCATTTGAGAAGCCAAAAGACCCCGAATGCCTGTCACAAGCCCTTTTCCCACCCCCCAACCCCCCCCCCCCGCCCCCGCCCCGCCCCGGGAACTCGGGGGTTGTTCTTCAACAATTAGAACTATTGGCTTATTCAAAGGGCTATTAACAATGACTGGTCTGAGCTAGGGCTGGAGGGCGGTTGCCAGATCAGGTGAGGTAAGAGGAAACATTTGAGGGTTACTTTGACCCCTTCCCAGGGACTGAGTCAAAACATCAGGAACTGAGTCAACCTATGGGCTATCTTGCCCCTATTCCAATAACTGAGTTCTAATGAAGAACATTCACAAGAACTCAGGGAGATGGAAAGTTCTCAACATTTCAGTATGTGCATGTATAGTTGTTAGGTCCTTGGTTCCCAGGGGAGGGGGCAGCACTACTGCTGAGAGGCCTCTGTCAGAAATGGCTTCAGAGTTATCCTAGAGCTTTACAGTGGAGCTTAGTGGACTCCATGGCCATTGTTTTTAGCACCATCAGAATCTCTTCCTGCCCGACCCTTCCTATCGAGTCAGTCAAGACTGATGTACTCTGAAATTTTCAGCTAATTTGAGTGTACATAAATGGGGGGGGGTGTTACTGATGATGTAGCTCATCAGAACAAGCTGTTCTGTAAAAGGGACTTCCAATACAAATAATTCTGACAGTCCGAGGACACTAATACTCATTTGGGTGAGATGCCTGCCTAGTCCGGAATTTTTCAGACCCAAGAAACCCATTATGTTTTCCTCAGTAAGGCAACACAGGGCAAGGTACAAGCTGCATGAAAAGCCCTTTGCCTTTTTTTCTCACCGAAAAACATCTAAAAACCAGTATTGGAGTTTTGGCGAAATTCAGTAAGGAGTATTTTTGGTGAAACCACACACATACATACATACCATGGCTGAAGTTCAAGTGTGGTTCCACTACAATGTAGGTCTCTGAATCCCCTTGTGGAGCTAAGAAGTAAGAATGACTGCCCTCGCCTGCCCTCGCCCTGCCTTACCTTGCTAGTGTTCTTTGTTGCGGGTTGAGCCCAGCTTCTCTCTGTGTCTGGCTAGAAACTAGGGCTGACCCTAAACCTTCCTGAAGCAGATCTCAAGGACACAGCCTCCCACCAGCACCCTCCAGCAACACTAGCTGTGCAAAGGACAGGCATTTCTCAGGTGTATCATGGAAGCAGGCTGTGCAGCCATGTACTTCTCTACTCCCACACTTTGTAGGGCATTATAGCTTGAAGCAAGTTGCACTGCACATGTTGTCATTTGCCAGGACCATCTATCTCAGACCGTCGCAGAGAGAAAGCTGTGCACAGGCCCCTGAGGGACCCCAGCAAACAGGAATAACGGAAGGAGTCTGCAGAGTGAGTGCCTGTTAATCCGTTATGATTTATTAGCTGTACAGCAGTAGATCCTCCTCCCCAGCTTTCAACCCCATTACATATTTTATTACAGGTCTCATGTTGGCGTCCTAAAATAATGAAAAATATCACACAGTACAGCTAAGTACAAAAATGCATCAACCTAGAGTCTGATAGCTAACTGATGGCTCTCTTAAAGCAATACACAGAAGAAAAAAAGGGTTTGAAATCAGTCAGACTGAGGCTCTTTAAAAAAACACATGTCAACATGTGACAATTCATGTGCAAGAATCACTTTTGAAGTTGGTTTACTTCACATTATTAATTTTTTTTTTAGATCCGAAGTTTAAATTACTGACCAAGTGAAATTTTCTGGCTCAGCTTGCCAAGGCTGTGGCCCATTCATAATCAACTATTCTGGCTTTAACAGAGATTTAAAAAATATAACATTCAGCTACAAACAGAGCAAAGAAAATGTTGATGGGAAATCATAATGAGAGTTATCTGTTCAAGGTTCGAATGCTGGCTCCATGAGCTGGAAACTAACTTTCCACGTGGTGTCACCACTTGCAGGCAGCAGGTCC